AAATAATTTCTTCCTTTTGCAAAATCGCATCGGGAGAATCTTATCAATGTTTTTAAGTCAGATGCGTTTTATTCTCCAAAAGGATTCGATAAAGCATCTTTCCTTATATATATTTTTTATTTTTCTTTAATAAATATTAATTTTAATATTTCTATTGTATGTATACATGTATTCGCATAAGCATAGATATAACATTACTTTGAAATAAGAAATGATAATCATAGAAACTTCTGTGTAAAAATATTCTCATCATATAAGAAATTGATTAAATGAAATCAGAAATTGACATCTTCTCTATAAGTCTATCTGTCCTAGATTTCATGAATTAATCATGAATTAATGAACTTTTTGATGTCATGGGTGGCCGATTATCTTAGTTACTTTTCCTTAAAAAGGAAAATCTATCGTTCGGATACTATACGAAACAATTTTTTCTTCTAATAACATAGCATACATTCCGTGTGCGTAAATTTGAGGACGCTGTATGTGTATACATATACACAATTACACATTTACAATATAGATATCGAACTCCGAACTCTATCTAGGGCAGCATAATTGCACCATGATAAAGAAATAAAGAGTATCTCGGACCGAGTGCAATACCCAAGCCACCACGAATAATGATTAAAATTACAGAATAAAAAAGGTGCAGATACGCAAGATGTGCTTTCGCGCCACGCAGCATCGGACAATGCGACACTTTAATGAGCCCTCGAGGGACGCATTCGCGTGCTGCAGATGCACTCTTGGAATGCCACGCCCAGCATGAAGAGCCGTGAACCAATACCGAGGAAAAATTGTGTACAGAATATCCGTGCGTGTCGGCCCCTTTGTGTACGCGTGTGTAATGAACCGTGGCAATTATCAAAATTACGCCGGCTTTCGCTCGCAGACACGTTAGAAGCGAAACGAAAGGCGATATTTACTTTTCCTAGAAGACGTATTCGACGCATTATTGGCACGGAAAACTTGGAATGATATAAAATAAATATTTTATATACTACTCTTTACATAAAACTTGGCAAAGTTAAGAATTTGATAAAAATAGAGACATACGCTCTTTTATTTCAATAACAATAGAGGCATGATACTTTAAAATATAAGGAAAAAACGAAAATATGTATACATGTTTTCACAACAATTTTCATTCCTGTTAGAATAAATTTATATATTTTATTACTTATAAACTTATATATTTTTTATTATTTATCGTATTTTTTAAGAATTATGGGATAACAAAGTTATTATTACGCGATCCTGCTCATTTGATTAATCCTTCCCATGTCTTCGTAAAAACGTTAACTTGATGCCCTTCCTGTTCATTACGTCGGATAAACGCAATCGCGAAGGAAAAAGTGCAATTTCGTAAAGTCTACCCTAAATGACGAAATTACGCGCGGGGTCGAATGCCCGTTCGCCTGTGGGGGTTTCCGCGCAATCTCGCTTCCTGGGGAATGAATACAGTTCTAACGGGGCCACTAGGGAGCTATTCCGTGTGCCACGGGGTCCATCGCCGATCGTCGCAACACATTGCCGTTGGCTTTTAATGTCCAGCTGAGAGATTATTTGTCCCTGGAGGTTGGACAAAAATCGAGAT